ATGAAGTCATAAAACGTTTTTGCTCCTTGTTTCTTTTATCTTCTATTTTCAATTTTTTATTTCCTATTTTTTTGAAATGAAAAACAAAAATGTGTTGGGTAATTATTTTTATTGAAAAAGAAGCAAAGTTATGTTTGATAATTGTGTTTGTGTTCTTTTTCTTCCTTTTTTTTGTGTTTTTTTTGTTTGATGTCCATGATGTACAAGTTATAGCTTGAACACACCTCAACTAATGGATGTCCAACATGATGGTTGTATTCTCCTAAATTTTATATAAAAAAAATAAAAAATATTTTTTTAAACTCAAAACATTCAAAATTATTATGTTATATTTATTTCTTTAAATTCGATTGTTTCTCTTATGAATAAATAAAAGAAAATAATTTTTTATTTTAAAATTTTAAAATTTTGGAAATAGGAAAGTGTTCTCTCTCAATTTGTGAGGTGAGTATTCAAACTTCTGATTGGTTGGTCCCATATGTCTAAATGAGTTTAGTCTATGACCTGGTTGATGTAATTAATTATATGCAAATTTTAGACATATTTTATGTTTCTTGTTTCTAGTTTTGAAAAACACGAATAAAAAAAAAATTATTTCTTCATTTTTTTACTTATAATATGCATAATAAATGCTAAAATTTATATTTAACATAATACTTTGATTGTTTTTTTTTTTTCCCATAGAAAACTTGATCTTTTTTTTCTTTAATTTAAAGTTTGAGAGAACAAGAAACAAGAATTGTTTTTTTAAAAAAACTTGTGTTCCTTATTCAACAACAACAAAAAAAGAAAAAAAAAAGAAGGAAAAAAAAAAAGGAGAAGCATGTATAAATGAGTTTTGTTCAATTCCAAACAAAAGCAATGTGGCCAATGTGAGTGATTATTGGCCAATGAGGTTCGGGTGTTTTCTCTATTAATTGCTAGATTAGGCGACAAAGAAGGAGAAAAATAGCTTTTTAGGAGGAGAAAAATAGAGCAAGTTCTAGATGCTGTTACCTATAAATGTATAAAAGACCAGAAGTGAAGAAGAATTATGCAGGTAAATGTTTTGAATATGAGTTGAGGGTATATAATTGTATCTTTTCTACAAATTTTTCCATCATTATGACTAGAGATTCTAGATAAAAGATGCATGCTTCAGTCAGAGATCCTCTTCTCCCTTTCTTTCTTACCCCGTGGCCCATCTTTTTAGTTGAATTAGGAAGAAAAGCATATCATGTGATTTTATGTACCACAACAGAGGAAGAAAAGGTTCTAATGGGAAGGAACTGTTAGGAAAGTTTCAAAAGGATTCAGGTTTGCACATTAATCATCTTTGGTTTCTCTATTGCTAGTAATAATGTAACAGCTCAAGCTAGAAGATATAGTCTGTTTTTGCCCTTTACGTATTGTCGTCAGCCTCACGGTTTTAAAACACATCTACTAGGGAAAGATTTTCATCTCCTTATAACGAATGTTTAGTTCCCCGGGGATCTCACATGGATTAATAGAGAGGGTTGTTATACTAGGTCATGAGTAAGAAAAGCTTCTCCAGTTATCTGTGGGTCTCTTTGAATGGACATCCTACTTTATATGCATTTTGGTAATGTGTTATAGAGTGAGTCTTTGCCTAAGGAACTAAATGGAAGAAGACTTGGATTTCCAAGGGGAGCCCATTTATTATTTGTCTCTCTTCAAACTTTTAGCTAGATGAAGTAAAAAAGATGGATAAGATTTATTAGAACAATTATTTTGATAACATGAATATCTTGGCTAGCTTTCATTCCAAGGGGAGCCCATTTATTATTTGTCTCTCTTCAAACTTTTAGCTTATGATATTTTATGTCCTAGAGACTTCTGTATGGGAGGGGGCTAATTCTTTATGAATGCAATCGCATTATTAGTAAGAAATAAACTTGTGCTTGGGGGACTTGATAGCAAATGGATTTCGATGTTTGTGCTAGAAAAGGAAACTCTTTGGAGAGATGTTATGAAAGTCTCATTGATATATGAACCCAAGCCAAGAATCACCTCTAATGTGAGTGAATTCAGTAAGATTCTACTTTCGAAATGTATTCGAACTTCTCCTAGAATAGTTTCCGGCGAAAAACCATAATATGCCCTGAGGAATTCCTACTTAGCTATACTATACTCGACGTGACTCCATAGGTTTTTTTGCTCAATCAGGAATCTTGTCCGACCCCGAGTCAGGGCCTAATCCCCTCTCTCTTGAGATATTTCGACTCTTTCTAGGATCATGGTGGCTCTTATATGCCATGAGAAAGGATTGCGGATCCAATTACCAAGTAGAACAAGTTACTATTAATTGCTCAATTTGATGGATGAATCCTTTTTGTCGCAAGCATGTGATTACAAAACTGTTTTAATCCATGGCATTCATGTCATGACTTGTTTTTGTTCGTGTACCTTGCGTAGAATTTAAACTTCATTGATATTGGTTTGCTAGAAACAATTTGTTTTACGTTAACAGATCTTCTTCGATGTTATTTAGACATGATTTATTGTTTATTATATGAGTGCCTCTATGCATTTAAGACAATATACAATTACTTGTTTCTTCAAACTCGTTGATTCATTACCACTAGTGAAATTCTTGACTATTTATACTCGCCTATAATCCATCCACAAATGAAAAATGCTTTGGACAATAGAGATTGATGGATTGTTCCTTCTTATCTCGTTCATATACATCTTCTCTTTGTTTCTCGAGCTTATAGTGAGTTACAGGGAGTTCGAAAATGTCAAATTTTTTATGATTCCATTATATATGATTGAGTTGTGAAAACTTTTGGATAGGTATTCCACTAGAGAATCTCTTTCTAGTTGCTCTGGAACAATTAGGAGATTCTCTCGAAGAAATATGGGGTTCTGGATTTGGTGGCAACATGCTATGAAGTGGTGGTCCCACTTATGGGGTCAAATTATTACGTTCGAAGAGGAAAGATTGGAATATCAATCTTAATTCCATCAATTGAATTGCGTATTCGAGAAATACGAAGCATCTAAATCAAATTAAAGAGATATATTCATTTAGGAACTGTGATTGAATTGATTTGATTGATGATAAAATAGAATCCTTCTTACCATTCTTATTGTTTGCGAATCCTATCCATTTTAAGAGTTCTATTTTTAGTCTATTTTCCCCCATAATCTTACTGTTGCTTAATTGCATTGCAGGATCTTAGTGCTTTAGAAGATTAGGCAAACGATGGCAGTGATGTAGACTAAGCTGAACTGTATAGATTTTTTAGACAATTGAACACGATTAACCTAGCTGATGAAGGAGAATGATTTGATGGTCGATTGGTTTCGAGATGGTATCAGATGGTATCGGCTGGAAACTTTTGCTTTCGAGACGAGATCTTGTACACAAGTTGATGCAGATACTCAATTATGTAGACATTTGGTTCTTTTTTTTACACATCTTCCTGCTTATTGTTGGAGTTAGCTTACAATTTTGTCACTCTAAGTAGGAAAAATACTGTGAATAGTATCATTCCAAATTCGTTTTTAGTTGGACGATTTCTTCGCTCGAACCATTTAAGTGTTGAAAGCAAATTTGAGGATGTAATTGTAACAAGGTTTATACTCAAAAAGTATTATTAGCTAGGGTGCTTGAATTGACCCAATTGGACGGACACTCATGAATTTTGTTGGTGGAGTCGTTTTTAAATCTTCTACCATTATATTACTATGCTATTATCTCGTTATTTTGCTTGCATGATTAAAGGTTATAAATATGTTAGAAATTATGAATCTTCACAATGGTATGATATTGTCTATTTTAAGTATTAGCTCGTAACTTTACTTTTAATTTTTTTAATAGGTCGTATATTTGAATGATCTTATTACACATATTTCGATAAGTTTCAAATTTTTTTTATTATAAAAGAATATGTTTATTTTACTATAGTTTGTTTTTAATAGAAAATAAAGTCAAAGCACTCACAAGTGCTATGGGTAAATTTTCATTATTTTTTAAAAAGTAATTTCCATCATTGACCTTGTGTAATTGTCAGCCTTTTTTCCAATAAATTTTATGCAAAAAAATAATAATAATAATAAAAAAAAAAAATCAAAATAATAATCATGTTTTAAGGATTAAATAAAGTATATTAGATTTGATTATCCATTCCATTTCTAATTCTCTTTTTCAATTTTTACGAGAGCATAATTTAAAAAATATTTAATAGATAAGAAAATTCTTTGTCGGGTCAGTTTTGACCCGCATGAAAGGTAATGATTTAAGCACGGTCTCGGAGATAAGCTTGATGAAATATACATGTCTATGAAGATGCAGACTACTTGCACTTAGACAGAAAGATCCTGGGAAACTTCACTGTTCCTTAGGATTGACTTTGGGCCTTTCCTGTGCAACTTTGGTGGAGGGCAAAGAACTTCACTGTTCCTTAGGATTGACTTTGGGCCTTTCCTGTGCAATTTTGGTGGAGGGCAAAGAAGGCTCCCTTACGAGGGCCCAAGCTATCTGTGAGATACCACTCTGAAAGAGCTAGAATTCTAACGTTGTGATAGGACCTACAAGCCAAGATACAATCTTGCTACCTACACTTGGACAGAAAGATCCTATGAAGTTTCAAGGTTCCCCAGGATTAGCTTTGAGCCTTTCTTACACAGCTTAGGTAGAAGGTAAACAAGGCCCCCTTCCGAAGGGAGCTCGAGCCATTAGTGAGTTATCACTCTAAAAAATCTAGAATTCTAACCTTATGTCAGGACCTAGGTGCCACCGGATAGGTAAACAGTTCATATTAACGTTAATGATTTTGTTTCAAAATCTAATATAGATATTAGTTCAAACAATATTGGTTCAACTTCCTTATATTTTAATCTAATTATGATTTTGTTAAACCTCGTAAATCGCCCTCAAACTATTTTTATATAAATTATAACTAAATCATATTAAATTTTGAGTGGCGACTAAAAAGGAAAAGAAAATAATAATAATAAATAAATAATTCGGAGAGGGAAAGGTTAAGGAAGAGGAGCGAGAGAGTGAGAGAGATGACAGACGGTCTTCCTTTCCAAAGCAAGCAGTGCTTCAGTGCGCACCGCCTTCGTTTCGTTATCTTTAGGTTCGGTCCACCCACCTTCAATGGCCATTAACCCTCGATTTCCCTTTTAGAATTCGCTTCCTCTCAACAAAAATTCGCTTCTTCTCCCCCATCAGATCCTCCCATTCTCGCCGCTCGATCTCGTTTCTCGCCATTAAAATGCGCTTCTCTGATTTCCGCCCTCCGTTGCCTCTTTGATTCCGTTTTTTTTTTTGTTTTTCCTTCTCCATTTCTCTAATTTTGTGATTATTATGAGGATCGGGTTCTGCGTGAGGGGAATTGTTCTGTTGATCGTGATGCTGGGAAGGCAAGCGTCGTCCGCCGACTCGGTTAGGGTTTTGCATTCAGGCCTTTCGTGTCCTATTGAATCTTTTCTGGATACGATCTTTCGTTTTAGGGATTGGAACTCGTACTGCCCCATTGACGGACAGCATGGACACTATGAATTCATTGGCGTTTCTGAGGTAAATTTCTTATTATTTTTCCATTTCTGTTTCTATGATTCGTCTGAAATTGTTTGTCGTTAAGATCCTTGACGTTTGAGGGTCTCTTTTGTTTAATTTTGGTCCAAGTTTTGTGGTCAATTTCAGCTTTTTCAGAATATTGAGACATGTTTTCTGGCTCTGTAGTCAATTTTGTTGATGTTAATTTGTTTGGGAGCCCCCTTAACTGTTTAAGGGTTTGAGTTCTACGGATCCTAAGCATTTTGGGCTCTGTTTTTGAGTTCATTTCTGTTATCTTTGTTGTTTTGCCACTAAAAGAATTGGGAATTCTGATCTTTACATGAATTTGGGTATAGGAGGCTGTTATAATTGTGTGGGTAACTTAACTATTTGTTTTTGCTATGATTTAAGGGAGATGAGGCCTCCTTACAAATGGCACTGAATATGGTACATAAGAACCGCTATGAATATGTTGCAGTGCTCTTCTATGCATCTTGGTGCCAGTTCTCCAAGTCTTTTAGGCCAAGCTTTTCGATACTATCGTCTTTATACCCTTCGATCCCGCATTTTGCAATCCAAGAATCAGCTGTTAGGCCAAGGTTTCATATTGAACTTTCACTTCTTCAATTTGGCATTCTATGGTCGTATCATGTTTACTTTATGTGAACATAATTCATGTTTTCTTGCAGCATACTCTCTAAGTATGGGGTCCATGGTTTTCCTACCCTTTTCCTTTTAAATTCTACAATGCGTGCTCGCTACTACGGTTCTCGAACGCTCCCTTCTCTTGCTGCATTCTATAATGATGTTACTGGTATGGTCTCTTTATGCTTCCTCTAAATTTTGCTTCCATGAAAGGAATACTTGTTTTGAATTCTTAAGAAGAACTGAAATTGTGTAGCATTTTTTGCCTAAGAGATACTCAAATTGCTCAAAATCAATTTAGGTTGCTGATAATATTTTCTATCTTGTGTGAATTCAATTAAAGCGCTGAATCTTGATTCTTGAACATCTTCTCTTTGCATAATCGATTTGTAATGGAGTTTCGTGTTTTTTAGTTTGTCATGTAATAGGTTTTTTTTTTTCTGAGTCTTATTATTTGTTTTAGTCATGTGCTGTTTTGAGGCCCCCTTCATCGTAGGACATCGACATATTGGATGAACCAGGGAAGCTTTAACAAGTAGCGCTTTAACAAGTAGCTACGAACCCCGACGAATAGTGCAAGTGGTTGAAGACATTAATGTTGGTTTAATATGCAGTAATAGTATTTGAATATGTGATGAAGAATCTTAACAGTTATATTGTTAGAACTTAGTTCTATTATTTGATATTGGTGGTCATGGTTGATTATAGGCATTCAAACTGCATCACTGGACCAAATATCGCCAGATAGAATCGAACAAGTATGGAATCAGGAGAAGCATGATGATAGCAGTGAGCAGGAAAATTGCCCATTCTCATGGGCAAGGTCTCCCGAAAATCTACTTCGGGAAGAAACGTATTTGGCTCTAGCTACTGCGTTTGTGTTTATGAGATTGATATACATCTTCTTTCCAACTCTTTTGGTCTATGCTCAATATGTTTGGCAAAGGCACCTTAGGAACCTGAGATTGGGAACCTTGTGGGAACGACCTTTGACGTGCCTGAAAGGAGCAGTTCAGTTATTTAGCCATTTCAAGGATCCTTGCAAGAGAAGCAATTTACAAGGAGGTGCCATGAATGCCAGGGCATGGGCCAAGTCTTTTGCCACAGTTTCTATAGGCGATGCAAGCTCTAGTAGCAGAGTGTGCCAGTAAGAATGTTGTCGATGTGCATCAACGACATGGTGAGCTGTAGAAATTTCCATTCTAGAGCCTCGAGTAGCTTTTGGGTTCGACATCTTGTGAACGACGACGAAGGTAAAGCAAGGATACTCGTCCTAATCCATTTATTTTTTATTTTTTCTTGTTGTAGAATGTTAGTTCAAAATTTGTTACGCATTTTCAAACGATGCCTGAACCCAATTTGTGCATAGGAATAACCAACAGACTTTCCCTCCCTTATGTGTAACTTCTTGCTATTGCGACTGCAAATGCCCCCACAATCATCTATGGTAGGTTCTAAATTAGTGTTCATTCTATTCTTTTTCTTTTCAACTTTGAACTGCTAACTGGAAGTTGTTGTGTCCAAAACCTTATGTTCGTAACATCGTGCAACGAATTCGATCTCAAATGCCATAGACAAACGGTGAGACCAAATTGGTTGATCCTTTTAAAGGAATAGCAACTTCCCCTAGCCGACTCGAATCAGGTCAGACAACCAATTCCTAGCTACTTTCACTAGCTATATTGAGGATAGACTTCAATTCGACAGTAATTTGCCCCAAGTGAATGCTTCTATGATGCAATTTAATAAAGCAATTGTGACACTCGAGTAAGAGAAAGATGAGTAAAGAGAAAGATGGGCATAGAGCTAGATGTGTAATTGAAGAATGTGTAATTGAAGAATGAACGTGATGGGCTCTTACCCCAACTCACCTAAAATATTAAATAGCAGTAACATACAATATTTAATGCAATAAATACAACTCCAATCTATTCAATTGGAATTGAAGTATCAGATATACATGTAGACTAATTACATTCAATTCAAAATGACCAACCTGAACACACCTTGCGAAGTTTGAGGTCATCAAGATCCTTGGAAGATCCAACATAACTACTAATTTAGCTAGAGGCAATGTTGAGACAATAGTCAGCCCTCTTCTGTAGTAACATTTTTATTGACGATCTGGGAGAAGGGATATGATAGTCAGCAAATTCATAGCCATATTCGTACTGCGTGAATAATTTTTTTTCTAACAAACAATCTTCTAATGTAATAATATCAAATCTTAAAAACATTAATATGGGCCAGCCAATATGATGAAGGAAGAAGTTGTTTGTAAGTTCATATTCTTGATTGTTAGTGATGATGATAATAAAGCCGTAACGCATAAAGTAGCGGCTGTTCACATGTATAAAAAGATTAAAACACACCCAAAAAAAACATATAACTCTTTATCTTGAAACTTCACAAACCCAAATCATCAGCAAGCTGGACTGAAAGGTTGGCATGTGGTTAACTTAGTTAAAAGAATCGTAAAGTTATGCTATTTGACTCTAAATTATAATATGCTTGGACATTCTGTAGCAGCAAAAGACAGCTTGGAATAGGAGAAACTAAGTCGAATGCGTGAAGCTATGATCTGATGCTGTCGAAGCACAATTATTAGAAACATGCAATGATAAGCTGAAAGCAAACTAGATTCAACAGAAACCAGACAGATATCACTCCAGACAGATAAACAGCGAATCCTTCAGAAGATGGGCTCCATCATTCATGGTAGCATTGATTCGTCCATCCAACCATCCATATTAAGCACAATTTTTATGCTACTTAAGAAATTACGCAAAACTAATTATTGATAGACATCCTGTATATTTTTCGGCACATGATCTAAAATGCACGACAATACGATTATGGGATTCTATTCCTCGTGTTCATTTAATCTTCTTCCAAAGTAAGCAAATAATAAGTTTAAATTTAGCAACTTTATGAGATTTTATGCTACAAGATTATCATTTATTTGTACTAAAAACAACATATTCATCCATCACTATATAAACATATAGACAAGCTGCATACCTGTGCTACATATTCTTTAATCTTTTCACTAACTGGTCCATCTATAGCTCTTTCAGCAAGCTCGTAGAACGTGATATTCCCATCAGGACCATTTATTTTGGCCTTCTGCAGATATCTACAAAGCACGGCAAGCATAAGATGAACCTGTAAACCCGTCTTTCCAGTATCTTCTATCGTCATCGAATTATGTTGAAGTTGCTCAATTGCAGTTACCAAGCATATAGTACAGAGTTTACTGACCTTTGCTGGACAAGCAACTCTACTGCCTCCTTGATGTTGCCAAGGACTGGATGTTTTTCATCATTTTCAGACAACCCCATTCGTCTCAAGTGATGCCAAAGGCTTTCTGCAGTGTATTGCCAGGTTCCATTATAAAGCAAAAAATGGCATTCTGCCCTAAGAAACTCTTTGCAACATTGTGAGTCGATCAATATTGCATAAATGTAGCATGGCTATCTGATAAGCAACATCTTTTCAAAGTAATGTACTAGATTAGATGAAAGAGAAGCAAAAAAATTGGAACTTTTGCTCTAAGAAACTCGTTGAAATATTTTTTTAGTCAGTTAATATGGTATAAAACTTAGTATAACTATCTGATAAGCAACATCTTCTCTAGGTAATGTACTAAATTATACTAAATTAGTGTAACGGCCCAAGCCCACCGCTAACAAATATTGTCCTCTTTGGGCTTTCCCATTTGGGCTTCCCCTCAAGATTTTTAAAACAGTAAAACCTTGAGGAGAAGTCCAAAACGGAAAACCCAAAGAGGACAATATCTGCTAGCGGTGGGCTTGAGTTACAATTAGTGTCTCCAAAATTAGATGAAAGAAAAAGTTTATGAATGAAATTCATTTGATGTGTAAGCTGGCTTTCTATCACTCTAAATCTACCAAGTATGCATTGGATTAAGAAACTACAGCCATAGAGCTAACCTTCAGGAATTTTGCCTCCAGCCAGATGTACAATACTAACTACAACAAAATTAAAACCAGTCACGTGTGCAGTATCGACATCCTCAACATACTTTCTATAAACCTCCGCAGGAAGCTTGCTTATGAGAACATAGGATTTTGAATCTACAACATCTGAAGGCATGTAGTGACAAGAGTTAAAGCAAGATCCAATAACGATATAGTTTTGCAGTAAGCCATGTCAGATGGAAGTAACCCGAAAATTGGAATATTAATGGCAAGCCATGAAGCATACAGCAGATCCTAGTTCTTGACGAAATGAGAGCTTATTCAGCGACTAAGAAAATTTGTAACCAAATAACCACATTCAGCAGTCTGTACATCCATTGAATTTAGTATGACTTTCTACAACCCATAGCCACAACTTTCATGCTAAAAAAATGCCAGCCCTCATGTTCCAGTTGTTCTATTTCGATGCAATGAATAAAGAGGATTGTATATCAGATACATCAGACGTTTATTTTGAAGAATGAACCAAAACCTAGGCGTACGCAGTTTCTGAGATGAGAATAAATTCGAAAACATGCTATTTCACATATATGGTTCTTGAGATAGGAGTGCGTAGCATAAGTAATAAAATGATCGATGAACCACATTTAATATAAAGCATGTGCACAGCTCACGGATTGGAGTAATAACAATAACATTACTAGAATAAATGAATTTCTCACCCTAAGGACCCGTCACCCACAAGAACATTTTGTTCCACTGACAAGATCATTAGTTGGACACTTCTATACTAAAGTTGCAAAAGGTTAGCTCATTCTTAAAATTTTTATGCTTCGACTCATGACAAGACTGAACCATAACCCTGTACTGTTTGTTAAAAGAAACCTGCGGTGACTTGCAGTAGTCATATCTACAAAAATTCTGATAACTAGGATTGCAGTAAGATAACGTGAATAAATGGGAGTTGGACCGACGTCTGAAGATCTCGATCGTAATAATCAAGAGTAAGATAATAAGTTAGATCACTTCTTACTATGCTGAGGAGGGTGCCCTTGGGCAGTGGATGAAGGCCGTGCTCTTTGAAGTTCCCTCAACTCATAACCAAAAATGCTTGACAGCTTCTCTTTAGCTTCTTCTATCACAATAGCCGGCAATCCTCGATTCCTATAATTTTTTGTTACGATCTGAGTAAGCTCTTCCCTTTTGATGGGACATCCAGAATTTTGATGAGTTTTGAATATGATATAGCGGATAACTTCCGCCACGAGCTTGTCCTTTTCCTATCGATTAAAAGTGGTTTCGGAATCAGAAATATTAACCATGCGAGGGCGATACAAGGAGCAAACCCTCGATTTCCAAATAGTCATACAGGGCTTTATGCAGAGAGAACAATCTCATACCTCGTTCGAAATGTCAATCTGGGAAAGATAATCTCCTGAACTTGCCATACTCAACAATTTCCCTAACAATAAAACGAAAATCAAAAATCAATTCGAGGTCAAATGAACATATGCAATCGAAATCAACAACTGAAGTCATGACAGAACAACGGTGGATTTCCAAAATCACTATATATCGATATATATATATATATATATATATATATATATATATATATATATATATATATATATATATATATATATATATCAACAAAAACGATTTTAACAGATAGGTTGGGCTTGATCGAGGATGAAAAGTGATTCTAATAGACAATATTGACAAAACATGAGAGACTATTGATAATAAAACTGAAGTAATTCCATAGCTTACCCCGGACTAAGCCGACGATAAGATAAAAAGGAGAATTCAAGCGCTGAAAAGAGCGACGGGAAATCTTTGAAACTTCCGGCGAAAGTGATGTCGGAATTTTAGAGAAGCTTCAGAAACCTCCAAGGTTTGAAGACCTCGGCATCTTCCCGCGCAGTTCGACCTGGGGGCGGTGAGCGCGCTTTCTTCTTCTTTTCTTCTCCTTTTTGTTTAAATTACAGATTCGGTCTTTTAAATTTTAAACGGCAAAATTACAAATTTAATTCTAAATTTCGATTCGTTCCAATTACAAATATTATTTTCAACGTAAATTTAAAAATTCGCAAACCGGTAAAATTTTAGGATAACTCTTCAAGTTAATATTTAATAAATATATATATATATATATATATATATATTTATTTATATATTATATTTGATACGTTAAATATTAAAATAATTAATGTATAATTAATGTATTTACGTGAGATTCAAATTAACTAAATATATTGAAATATCTTAAAATAGGATTTAAATAAAATATTATATTTAAATATATTAAATATTCAAATATATTATATATCAAAAGATTATTCGAGAGTTTTTATAAATAGTTTTTCTTGAAATAAAACTTCCTCCATAGAATTCTTTAAAATGCTTCTCAAATCTCTTCAAGACTTTCTTTCAAGAGATTCTGCCTTGTATTCAAGTCAAAATAAGAAAGATCTTGTGGGAGGTGAAGAACTTCTACGCCTTTAGAATATTTCAAGGAATCTTACAAGCTACTGTTACTACAAAGGTATAATCAAAGATTTTACTTCAAAGAATCATGAGTTCCTGCAACGATTCCACCATGCTCTTCTGGAGCTGCATCTCGAGCAAGGCGCTCTTGTTTGCCCGAAGACGGGCCGCCGATTCCCTGTCAATAAAGGCATCCCAAATTTGCTTCTACACGAAAACAATGAGTTTGAGATTCTATGAGATGTTAGAATTGATGAAAAGGGGCTCTTATTTAACAAATGAAAAGTGATGAGACAACAATGCCATCTGTTATTTACCAAATGTGAGGCCCTGTGGGGGAAGTATATCTTCATATGAATCATCTAAAGCTTGATTGAATGCTAATTCTATATCAGCTAATGATCACCTAAACATCATAATATTGTGTAGAATGCAAATTGATGACCAAATAATGCACATATTTGGCACACCCTAAAATCCTGGTCAGTCTAATTCATCGAAGAAGATCCGACGCCGCCTCTCAATGCTGCTTGCAATTTTTGCAGCTTGGTGTTTCATCACAAGGGGGAGGAGGAGGCACACCAAAAACCCAGTCAAGGACGTTCAAATACTTGGATCGAAATACCTCTCTTTCCTGTGCATAGCAGTGCATTATAATGGCAGTTGATATGCTAAAGATTATCACATCCGCTCTCTTAAAATTCAATGATTGTGGCAAGTATCCCAGATCCGTCATGCAGCTGAAGAAGCTCTCGATGCCTCTCGCAAGGCAATAGAGTGAGATTTCAATCCTCCGGCTCTTCTTCTCAATGGCCAGAGCCAAACCAGCTAAGAACTGCTCAAAAAGTATATGCTTTTCAGGACAAGAACATGAGCTCTTACTCTATAAAAATTAATTCGAATCAAGAACTGAAAGCTATACCGTTGCCAGAGCAACCAAGGGAATGTTTATTTTCTTGAAAGTTCTTGCAGTAAGGCATGTCCACATCCTGAAAAGTAGGTGGAAAAACACGATCTATTAGAGACTATTGTTTTTATCTTTGCCGATATAATCTCCAGAAGATGAAACTTTGAGGTGACTTCAAATTATCATCCAAATTTTTATTTTGAGAGTTTTTATTGTTTTCTATTTTTACCCTTCTAAGCATGTTTTTAAGTAAGGGTATTTTAGCTAGTTTGTTTAGAATGATGAATTGATATCAAATTAGGACATCATTCCTAAAATTGACTATTTAACTACGTTATTTTGATGTTATCTACACACTTGAGAGCCACAAGACTCACCTCTTTGTGATTCTTGATCTAGGATTGCATGTTTGAGCATTCATGCAATTCTAATCAACTTTTTCTTGTGGAGTGTTCAAACTTCTAGTAAGAAACCACTTCTCCTTACCTCCTAGTCATTGATCACAAGATAACCTTCTTTAACTCTCCCTTGGAGTGTAGCGGTTGATTTTGAAGGTTTTAGAAATGAATAATTAGGAGTTCACATAATATAACCAAAGGGTTCCTTAGGATTTTCATTTTAAAGTGAAACAAAAAGTTTCACAAACGAGGTGGAAGAAAATAGTAACAAGAACGATAAAAGAAATAAAATAAAATAAAATAATCAAAGCCAATGCATTAGAATATAGTGGAAGAGATACTGACCAAGCAGATGAACAATAAACAGAAAGGAACAAACTTGATCTGGCTGTTCCTAGAAGCCCCCTTGCTAAAATTTCGTAAGGCCTGCACTGGTCATAACACTTCTCATCCCTCGGAAACATGGAAATTCCGTAATACAAAACAATGGATGGAAAAAGACAGCCAGAAAAGTTATCTCAACATGCAAGTATTTTGTAACAATCCTCGAGGTCAAGATTATATTAAAAAAGTAAAGTAATCTAATAACTTCTTCAACTATGAAGGAATCAAATTATCACATGAGCGAGCCGGGAACAAAACACCATTTAAGAACTGTCTCAAAAAGTAAAAGTAGTTTTAGTTTTCTCCATTCTTTTAATTGTTTTTCCTATCCATAGGTTGGCATGGGTAATTTTCATTTTTTTTAAATATTTTATTTATAATAAAGACATAAAACGAGCCCAAAACTCATAGCCCTTGTTTGCTCATGAAATAAAATCCTATGAAGGCACTCGAGTAACTAGGGAACTTATCTCCATTTCCTAAAAATTAATAAGTGGACATTTGCGACATAACCGACAGTCTAAGCAATAGTTCAACCACAACGAGCCGTGAAAAATAATAAAACCTAACTTGAAATCATTACCTCTAATCATAAATTGAAACCAAACATTTCACAGTATAAATAAATTCAAATTGAAATGTAACCTATTCATGAGACCTTCACGATGAACTATCAGGGCTGGGACAAGATAAACAGGTAGGTAAACTGGCAATGCTCTTTTATATCCTTGAATGAGAAAGTTAAGAACATGGCCACCACATGATTGATTTCCATGTATAATCTGCATTAGGAAAGAAAGAAACATTCAGGTCTGATCTTACTAGTCTTGGCAGGAGCATATGCAAAGTGAAAATTTAAAATTAAAAGATATCTGCAGATAGTTAGGGTAAACTCTCAAAAATACCATGATTACCATCTGAATTTTCTAAGCAGGGAGTCTTCAAAATCATTTCAAGCATGCAGACATCAGATCAGCATCACAATTGACATCACACAATATGTGGAGAAAACAAAAAGAACTAGATACATTCCGGAAAGATTGTTCCCAAGTACTTGAGGAAGAAAGGGAATGGGTTGGAAAAATCCTCTGGAAGGCCTTGGTACGAGCCTCCAAGGAAAAAGTTTTATGCTATAATCTTTGTTTTCCCCCCAAGAATTGGCCTCCGCCTACCTCCAAAAATAGTGGGGGCAGGAATGAGCATAATTCATTTCTACTGCTCTGAAATGTGCTTTCAGCATTGTCAAACTTACAGATTATCAATTTTTTTCGAATATTTGATAGCATTTGGCTTAGCAGGAATGATTATTATTATTATTATATATATATACTTTTTTTTTTGTCGATGATTGGTTCAATAATCAAAGACAAAGAAGAACTTGTAAATTTCTCTCTTTAGATCATCTAATATTACTATTTTTAGTGTGCATTTCCATTTCTTTGTTGCAATCTGTTCACATAGAATTCATGTTCAAGTAATAGCTCTAACTTGTGCAATTTTCATTCATGGAGAACAACCATAAACCTTATAATGTCACTAGACTTCTCAACCAGCTGACAATTGAAAATCCTTCAAGATGCCAACTAATCTGGGGAACAGGATATGAGTTGGATAGAACAAAAGTTTGTCTTGGATTTTGAATCAGGTGAGAGGAAAGTACATTAACGCCTTGAGTTGTTTGCTACAATGGCAGATATTCTAATATCTCAGTGCATCTACGTTTAATGTGCGTGCATATTTTGTGCAACACATAAGGAACAACTAATTTTACTTCGAGAGCAAAGAATTTAATTTCTTCTAGTTGAATAGAGAAACACAAAATAAAGCAATATATATATATATATATATATATATATATATATATATATATATATATATATATATATATATATATATATATATATATATGTATAAACAATACCGTGCATGGAGTCTTCATTTGCAGATCTAATTTGACATCTGCACCCATTGCCCTATAGTACTTTTCTATTGCTTTAAATTTATTAGAAGATGGCATGCCTGATACAAAACTCTTTAAACCTTCCAGGATTACAGTATCTTTTCCACCATGTATATTGAGAAAGGAACTAAACGATGGTGGTAAACTGTCTTGCTTCAACACATACGCAGACCTGAAAATGATTCTTCTAATTAGCTGTCTGTTATTATTATAAAAATTAGTCACTTACAATAGATACTACAAAAAAAAATAGCACAAAGTAATTTCATATGACAGCATAAAGAACCATAAGTTTCATCTGGGTGATCAAAAAACATATATATTCCTCACATATATAGAATGCAACAATATCTATCATTGAGAAGAGGTGAAACAAAACAACAAACAGACTAAACAAGGATAATCTAATTTTCCAAGACAGTGTCCACTTATGGCTACTGCTTTACGAGAGGAATATTAAGAATAGCTTTATAATAACATATATCATCCTGGGGTAATAACACAGAAGAACTTTTTGGCTTACGCATATACCATCCTGGTGTCATAAGATATGAACACAGTTTTCTCACCTGCATTCATTCCAACAATAGATCTAGTTCAACTGTTACATAATTAGTTCATAATCATAACGATGCAAGTCATTGACTGGTTTCCTGTAACACCCCAGATCCACCCCTAGCAGATATTGTCCTCTTCGGGCTTTCCCTTTTGAGTTTCCCTCAAGGCTTTAAAACGTGTATGCTAAGGGAAGGTTTCCACACTCTTATAAAGGGTGTTTTGTTCTCCTCCCCCAACCAATGTGGGACATCACAATCCACCCCCCTTCAGGGCCCAGCGTCC